TTTAATCTCATTGGTGGGAGTTCCATGTTGCCATTATTGGGGAAAGGTCCAATCCTTTTAGTTTAACGGGCCAGCATCAAGCCTTCCCAGGAGATAAGACACTGGACAAAGAGATCCTGATGCTACGTTACTGCAGGCCAGTCAGTGGCTGGTAGCTTTCCAATGATAGTGCAACCAACGGAACCACAGGTGAGCGAGGGTGGGAAATGGGTGCCGGTGGCTGTTGGGGGAGAGAATGGGGGTGTTGGAAGAAGGGGAAGGGGATGTCTCTCAGTGGGCTTCCTCTTCCATATGCCAGGACCTTTGATTAGGCATTGTGTGCTTCCCCCCGCCCCAGAAGCTTGCATATTTGCTTGTCGTACTCTCCACGTGATCAATCCCTCACCTATTGCTGTTTGAATAGTAGCAATGATAGGCTAAAGGCCTTCAGTAGGCATCGATTGCCAACCTGCCCTAGACTTCACTGGGTGATGGAAGGGGCTAATGGTGTGCCCACCTTGCACCATACTGTCAAATCAAATGCCCTGCCCACCCTTCCCCACAGCCACAAACTCAACTCCTGGGGAGTGAGGGCATAAAATTCTGTCCTATATCTCTGTGATCCTCAACCACAAAAAAAAGGTGATTTAGGTGAATGTGTAGCAGGGAAAATCCTGCCATGAAAAAGAGAGAACTAACTTCAATTTCCACTGCATGTTTTATCTCCCTTTCTGAAGATAGTTACATTTATCACATTTATATAATGTTCTTAATGTGGTAAAATGTGCCAAAGTGATTCACCAGCACATTATCAAATGACACCAAGTCTCATAAGCAACTATTAGATCAGATGACCAAATGCTTCCTCAAGATAGGTTTTGAGGAGATTGTAGAAGAGGAAAATGACTTGGAGAGGCAAGATGTTTTATGGAGAGAATTCCAAAGCGTAAGGCTAAAACAAAGGATGGTCACCATTGGTGGAGTGATTAAAATCAGAGATGGTCAAGAGGCCATAATTAGAAGAGCTGAACAGATTTGAAATTACAAAGATTTGGGGAGGAGGTAGGGCACCAAGGGAGTTGACGACCAGGAGCTAAAGAAACATATTGGTCAGAAGGATGAATGGGACTCAGTGCACAGAAAACCTAGAGCAGCAGAGTTTTGAATGATCTCACATTAGAGGGCAGAATGTGAGAGACCAGCATGAAGATACTTCAGGGTCAGTGTCACTCACATGCTGGGGAAATTTTAGAAAGTTAATTCAAAAGCTTATTAAGGGAAGTGCAAAGAAAACATGCAGTTCTACAATTTAAAGCATTTATTATACATGGGGTAGGAGATCGCTTAACGAAATTCTCACCTTAGAGCAGTAAAGATGCATGAGATGAATTTTTGAGCTAAGTGAAACAAGTAAGAATATTTCAAAGTAGCTATGGCCATCGTAAATTCAATGAATTGAAGAAAGATTTGTCTCCGCTCATCAGCTGCTGAATCCCTCAAAAATGCTTTTGGTGCCTGTAGACTTGCCTATTCCAGTGACTGCTTTCCTGGAGCTCCCTAGTTGTGTGTGGAATTTAGCCTCAATAATTGATGATAAATATTCAATGAAGGAAAGTAGGCATATGTCCAAATAAGTATTCCCACCATCTTAATGTTCTTGTGCACCTTCTTATTAGGTAGGAAATTGTAGGGCTTGAAGGTATAGATGAAGTAAGTTTGGTGAGTTGTGGCAATGCGTCCTTTTGGATAGTATTGTACCTGTTTTGGGTCTTGCAATCAATAGAGAAACTGTGAGTGGTGAGGAATTACATTACTAGTTTCAGAGCATTAAGTCTTTACTGTACCTCTTTAGCAATTTTGCTGATCAAGATATTGGTCCAGTTAAACTTCTGGTCTGTTAAGACCCTCAGAATATTGTTACTAAGAGTAGTGGATGGCTTCTAACAGAGCCTTGAATGATGTGGGCTGTGGTGAAAGATCTGGGAGAAGTCAAGTGAGGAATGGAAGGCTGCCAACATAATAGACATTCACAAAGGGAAACAAACAAAAGAAAAAACGGGTAATTATAGGCCAGATACCTTCACAACTGCAATTGGAAAAACGTTAAAGTCTATCATAAAGCATATAATAGCAGAGCATTTGAAATATATAATATAATCAAGCAGACTCAACATGGTATCATGAAGAGGAATTCTTTGAGGAGGTAACAACCAGATGAGATAGAGGAGAACCAGTAATTGTAATATATTTGGATTTCCAAAAGTGTTTGATAAGGTTCTGCACACAATTCTGGTTAATAAGATAACAGTTTGTGGTCTTTGAGGTATTATGGTAGCATGTCGGAGAATTGGCTAAATAATAGAAGGCAGAGAGTTTGAATTAGAGGAGTATTTTCAGGATGGAAACTGATAATTAGGGAGCACCACAGATATCAGTGCTGAGGTCAAAAAATAGGTGGGAAGGTAAGTGGTGAGGATAAAGAGTCTGCAGAGGAATATAGACAGGGTGAATGTGTAGGCAAAATCTTGGCAAATGGAATACAATGTGGGAAAATGTGAAGTTATACACTTTGGCAGGAAGAATAGAGGAGCTGAATATTATCTAAAAGGAGAAAGATTGCAGAAAGGTATAGTACAGAGAGATATTGTGCATAAATTACTAAAAGCTGGCATCCAAGTTCAGTGGGCCATAGGGAATGCAAATAGAATGTTGGCCTTTATGTCAAAGAGAATAGAGAATAAAAATAGAGAGGTCTTGCTAAATTCATTCAAGGCACTAGTTAAATCACACCTGGATTACTGTGAACAATTTTGACCCTCTCATCTTGGCAAAGACATACTGGCATTGGAGACAATTCAGAAAAGGTTTGCTCGGTTGATCACTGTGAGGTGATGATGAATAAGTTTGGCCTGTACTCATTGGACTTTAGAAGAATGAGAAGTGACCTTATTAAAACATAGAAGATTATTAGGGAATTGACAAGGTAGATGCTGGGAAGTTGTTTCCCTTTTTTGGGAGAGTCTAGGCCCAAAGAGTACAATCTCAAAGTAAGGAGTTTCCCATTTAACATAGAGATGAGGAGGTATTTTTTCTCTGCTCCTACATTTTATGCACCCAAAGCCCCTCTGCCTCTGACTCTTTTTTATCTTTCCTCCGTTTCACTGTTTTAAACATGTGTCGTTCATCAGGTTTTTGATCACATGCCCTAATATGGCCAAGTGGCTCTGTTGACACTTTTTCCCCCACAATGCTCTCTGATGCACTTTGGTACATTTTACTACATTAATAGAGCTACACAAATACAATCTATCCAGGCATCATAGTTTGTCATATTAATGGCAAAATTTAATTGAAATGTGGTCAGGGCAGCGACGATAAGATATAACAACTGAATATAATGAAATTTGTTTTAAATTGAGGTCGATTGGTGTTGAACCCTTCAATGAAATATCATTTTATCCACCAAGTTTTAATATATTTTCTATAGAATGTGTATCTTTAAAGCTGTTTTTATAGATGTAAAATTAGTATTTTTTCCAAAAAAGGAGAAATCCAGATATAGAGTTGGAAATTTACATGTGTCCAACAATTTCTATTTGACCAACTCAAGTAGCTAACTGAGCTGGTCAGGTCACTTTCTTAACTGGTGCGTTCTAGCACTGGTTTAAATAAACAGACCAAGTTAGTGATTCAATATAATAACATGCACTAAAGTTCAAGATTAGCTGCAAGAAAAGCTGCAAAATATTTCTGGTATTTAAATAGTCTTGTAATCTACCTATTGCTATTGTTAATCAATTATCACTCAATCTTTCTCCATGTTGACTGTTCCGATATGAAACATCCAAGCTGACATGGAAAAGCAAATGAAGGGAACTCAAGAGGGATAATCGTAAAACCAGGAATCAACCTGGTATTGAACAAGGGTTGTTTTAAATAGAAAACACAGTGAATTAGTCAACCTCTGTAAAGAGGAGCACCAAATTGAATTTTCACATATATCTAAGTGAACTGCTGGGAAATGTTAAAACAGACATGCTCACAAAGGCACAGCTCCACTGATTTGACCCTGGCCTGATCAGATTCAAGTCTGTTTTAGGACAACAAAAAACTTGTTAATTGTGATCAGACTGAGTTTGCCTAAATTTGGAAATAATGTCTTCGAAATACACAATTTCCAAGGAATGGGAATACAAGCAATGTAGCAATTATATTTGCACAGCAAAAGCTGTAGTTATACATAATTTTTTTTTTAAAAAATCACTTGTATATTATGAATAAATGGAGTACAACACCCACCCTTCCTTTTAAATATCTGAGGTGTTCTGTGCTGACAGTGTGTGTTTGTGTGTGATGGCTTTAAAAATCGATTGTATCTGTGTTTGATTGTCAGGCCTGGCCCAATGTGCTGAACTGTGCTGGCAATTGAGAGGCGAAGCTGGGAAGAGGCAAGTTCTTGGGGCAAAGGTCGCTCTGCAGCATAACATCGGGCTTGGTGGTGCTGTGGTAGTAACAATATACAGGATGGGATTCCCACAAGCTGCAAGGTGAGTTAATATTTCCTTCTGTCATGGCCGAGTCCTGCCACATTAAGGTGCAGCACAATGTAGAGCCTGTTTGTAGAGTATCTGCCAGGCCCAGGTCCCACATTAACACTGCAACTTATGTGTTTAGAAATCGCCTTCACTGCACATCAATCCATTAACAATCCGAGGAGAAATTGAAACAGTGTGGTTCCTGTACACCAAAGGCATTTCAAGAACTTGACCCAGTCAAAGCTGCTTTGCCTTTCCCTAGTGACTAGTGAGATTAATGTTTATTGTCAACTGGCTTACATACTGCGCTGTCTCTCCAGTTACCTATTACTGTGGCTGGCCTTGTACAAACGCGTTGAGCCTCTCAATTAAAAAAAAAAGTTCAGTTTGGAACCATCTTAAGCTGCAGAGAGCAGCTGTCTCTTTTTTTTTAAATTTAAAAAAAAGTTAGTATTTTTGTTAAGCCTGCTCGTGTATGTCTGCTGCAGTACAGCATCTTGACACATGATTCTTTATGTGGAGAGCTTTGGCTGTTGTATGTTCCTATCTGTGCAATGTTTGAACGCATTTGAACATTTTTACCAATAACCACATATGATTGGAACAAAATTGAACAATATTTCTGTCCTTTGAATATTGTGCTTTAACACACAAGTATTTCCTGATGTCATACATTAGAGGCCAGTTGGAGAAAATGAGTGGCCACTTGTGTTGTTGACAGTTCTTGCCACTGTAGAATTTGAATGAAGTGGCAGAACGTGTTAAGCATAATACTATATCCATTTTTTTAAAAATGAGCTTTAACTGTTGAATTCCTTTGAACAGAGAAGAGAAAAATGCTTTTATACCATTAGTACAATTTTAATTCTATGCAGTGTTTTGTATGCTGCAAGCCATTTCAAATAACATCACGAAGTAGGCAAAGCCATTTGTTCATTTAATAAAAGAAGCAATTGTGGACTGCCTCAGGAGCATCCATCCTATGGTGTTAATAATGAATTTTCAGCAAAAAGGATCACCATCACTTGAGATAACAAGGTGTAGAGCTGGATGAACACAGCAGGCCAAGCAGCATCAGAGGAGCAGGAAAGCTGACATTTCAGGCCTAGACCCTTCTTCAGAAAATGCTGGCCTGCTGTGTTCATCCAGCTCTACACCAGCTTCCCTCCCTCACCATCACTTGCACTGGTTTTGAAAATTGCAGTGGTGTTCATGTGATGAATTGTAACCTGCAGCCCATCTTACTATCAGTTTGCCAGATTTGCTGCTTTTATATGCCTCCAGACGTCCATTCACAATCTGCACATCTGTGCAGTATAAACTGCCATTCAGCAAAGATATTTTTTCCTCATACTCTATTTTCCCTTTTTTTCTTCCTGGAATAAGATTTGTTCACTGCCTACAGAGTACATGTCGGAGTCCTATTAAAGTGAGATCTATTCATGTTGGCTCAGGTTTGAAGAGAACCAGTGCAATGTGTTGGAACATTTCTAAGAGTGTCCCACAGACAAGACTTTTTTTGAATTGTGGCCCTTAGTAAAATGTCAGTACGCATGCTGAACTGGTTGTTGGCCGGCTCCCAATTTTGGGATGACTTTAATTCAGCATCACAAGTTTCTGTCCTGGATCCTCATGTAACTGAGCAGGCCAGTCGTCAACACAAACTTTTGGGCGAGTTATTTGGATCCCGAATGCAGGATTTTGTATTTTTTTTTTTCATTCTCTGCCTCACCATTAAGACATAGTGACTTGAAGCATGTTGCAATATTTTGCTGTTGGAAGCCCTAGGAGTTATTCAGAAGAGTTTTGTTTGAAACTGGGAATAAGGCAAATTGCTAGGATGGAAAGCAATTGCATCTAACTTGATGCTTTTCATCTAACAATGCCACAAGCAGAGAGAGATGTTTAAATTCAGTGAGTGTCACTGGCTAGGCCAGTTTTTGTTGCTCCTCCCTAATTGCCCTTGAGAATGTGACGATGAGCCACCTTCTTGAACTGCGGAAGTCCATGTAGTGTAGGTTCACCCAGAGTACAGTTAAGGGAGTTCTGGTGAAGGAACAACTGTATATTTCCAAATTGGAAAGATGTGTGACTTGGAGGGGAATTTGCAGCTGATGGTATTCACACATGTCTGTTGCCCTTGTAGTTCTAAGTAGGTAAGGTACTGGATTTGGAATGTACTCTTGAAGGAGGCTTGGCAAAATTGCTTCAGTTTCTGTTGTGACTGTTAACAATGTGTGTTGGTAAGGGAGGAAGTGACTTTTAAGGTGGATGGGATGCTGACCAAGCTCTCTTGTCTTGGGTAATCATGAGACACACATTTATATTTATATTGTCACACTATTACTTGGGTAACACTTGACAACAGAGAGTTACTGAACTATATTTCTTGGTACTAACATTGAGCTAACATTTAAGTCCTACTAATGACGAAGTCATTGCAAATGAGGCCAATGTGGCCTCTTCCTCAAGTGCCATTCGAATGAGTGAAAGGAATCATTTATCCTTCATTATATTCCCAGTTGTGGAACAACTCACTGACAATGATAGAGGGTGAAGCAGTGCTCAGGGCATGGGATTGTGTATGAACATGTCGCATTGTGCCCAATTCCATGAGCAATGGTGTTGCACTTTGTAAGCATTGTGGTGTATTTGCTGCACTGGGAAATGCACCACAATGTCAGTGTTGACATTATGGCTTTTTATTAATTTGTTTAGCCTTTTGAAAATAGCAAGTCTGTACTAGAATTTCCAGCTTGAGCAGGTGTTGTTCAATCTTAATCACAGTCTCTAGTAATTATGTGAACAGGAAGCTGTTCAGTACTTAAAGATAAAATCACCAATTTTGTACAAGTTAGGAAAATGCAGCAAGCTTCATTTCAATTACATTGAAACTGCTGTTCTGAATTGAACATTAATACGCACAGGAATGTTGTAGAAGAGCCATTATTCTTCGACTAGCTTATACGGTACATTTGTTTTTGACATGGCACATCTACTATTTTCTGTCCTTTGTAGCTCTATCTGTATTAAAGTTCATCCAGTTATATCACAGATAAAATCTGGCGCCTTCAACCTGATTACTGAGTTGCAACATAAATTGCTTAGGTTTACAACTGGAATGGTGAGTTCTGAGATCAATTCTAAATCGGCTTTACTCATGGCTTAGATAACAAGGTGTAGAGCTGGATGAACACAGCAGATCAAGCAGCATCAGAGGAGCAGGAAGGCTGACATTTCGGGCCTAGACCCTTCTTCAGAAATGGGGGAGGGGAAGGGGGTTCTGAAATAAATAGGGAGAGAGGGGGAGGGGCCTTACTCATAGCTTGTCCTCTCAATTTTACTCTCACCAGCCCTGAACAAAACTATAGCTAAAGGTGTCAAGTTCAATTATTTAATGCACTCCCTTGACCAGTTTCATTCCAGGCTAATGGCTGCCACTTAGACATGCCAGTACTGTAGAATTAAGATGATTCAGACATGAAACACGATCATTTTATAATTGAAATAATGTAATGGAATTCCACATTTAGATCAGAATTGTTTTGTGTTAACTCATGGTATCTTTGACCAAGAGTTGGATGTAAAGAACCAAGTACAGACTGAAAATATTAGCATTTTGAACATGCAAGTCATTCAGTGTTAACATTATTTGGAAGTAGAATTCTTTCATGAAAACACTGAAAATGGTTCAGTCATTGTTAGAGAGCCTGATTTCATTTAACATCTCTAATTGTTAAATTTGCAACACATAAAAGAGAACATGTTTATCCATCCCCACCCGCCATGTCAAAGCAAGTGTATCCGTAACCAATCCAGGCTTTCTCCATGATATGGGTTTATTGGATACCTTCCATAAATTGTGCTACAGGCCAAAAAGCCTGATCTGACCAACGAGTTCTGCTATCTCCATTATGGGTTATATGAAGGTTCATTTTTCATTCCCTTTCCAAGACTTGAGGTTTTCTGGCTCTTTTTGTTTAACCAACCTGTTCAGGAATATTCTTACATACCTCTGGCGCAGGTGGGACTTGAATGCAGGCCTCCTGACTCAGAAGTAGGGATGCTACCACTGTGCCATGAGTTCCCTTCCCCTCTTGCTTTTTTTTAAAAATTCTATTTTACCTAATCACTCAGTTCATAGATGTTATTACATACCTCTGGGGCAGGTGGGACACTACTACTGGACCTTCCAGTCCAGGGGTAGGGACACTACTACTGTACCACAAGAGGGTCCCTTCCTCACTTGCTAGCCTACGTATAGACACTCTAAACACCTGATTAGTCAATCATCAGTTGGTCACAATTTTAACTTTAGATTAATTGACCTGTTTACTAACAAATCAAATGAGTTATACACAGGAAATTTGGTATTAGTGGAAACCAGCAGAATTATGAAACCTCTTTTGATGGAATCCAGAAGGTCCATTAAACATTTGCAGCAAAATTCCATCTCCCATCTATAGCACCACAGATAATTGCAGTTACCTCTTACTCCCTCAACTCTGCTTTGGAAAAGTTTTTATTTTTGTCGTGGGACAATTAAAAAAGGCAGAAGGCCAATCTGCCAAGCACGCCAGTCAATCAGTGGCCAGGTATCTTGAGTGAGCAATGAGTGTCAGATCGTGATGAACTTTCTTAAGAGTACTGTCAGCAATCTGAGCACCACAACTTCAGAAGAATATATTGGCCTCGGAAGCAGTGCAGCGCGGGTTCACAAAAATGATACGAAGACAAGACTAATTAGTAAAGTTAGATCAGTGGGATTTAGGGTGAGTTTGTCAATTGGGTACATAATTGTCTTAATGACAGGAGACAGAGAGTGGTGGGGGAGGGTTGCTTTTCGAAATTGTTGCTTATCACCAGCGGTGTTCCACAGGGAACAGTTCTGGGTCCTCTTTTGTTTGTCATTTATATAAACTGATGAGAATATAGAAGGCATGGTTAGTAAGTTTGCAGATGACACCAGTATGGATCGCTTAGTGGACGGTGAAGAAGATTTTCTAAGATTACAAAGGGATCTTGTTCAAATGGTTCAATGGACTGAAAAATGGCGAATTGAGTTCATTCTGGATAAATGCAAAGTATTGCATTTTGTTACAACAAATAAGGGTAGGGTCTTGGACAGAGTTGTAGAACAGAGAGACCCAGGGATGCAGGTAGATAATTCTTTGAAATTTGCGTCACATATAGACAGGATGATTAAAAGGACATTAGGTATGCTTGCCTTTATTGCTCACTCCTTTGAGTATAGGAGTTGGGAAGTCATGTTGAGGGTATACAAGACATTGGTGAGGCCTCTTCAGGAATACTGTGTCTGTTTCTGGTCACTTAATGACAGGAAGGATATTATTAAGTGAAGAGGGCTCGGAGGAGATTTACCAGAATGTTGCCAGATATGGTGGCACAGTGACTCAGTGGTTAGCACCGCTGCCTCACAGCGCTAGGAACCCAGGTGCGATTCCACCCTCGGGTGACTGTCTGTGTGGAGTTTGCATATTTTCCCCGTGTCTACGTGGGTTTCCTCTGGGTGCTCCAGTTTCCTCCCACAGTCCAAAGATGTGCAGGCTAGATGGAGTGGCCATGCTAATTTGCCCATAGTGCTGAGGGATGTGCAGATTAGGTGGGTTATATGGAGATGGGTCTGGATTGGATGTTCTGAGGGCCGGTGTGGACTTGTTGGGCTGAAGGGCCTGTTTCCACACTGTAGGGATGCTATGATTCTATGGAAGGTTTCAGTTCTCAAGAAAGGCTGGGACTTTGTCCACTGGAGTGTAGGAGGCGACCTGATAGAAGTTTATAAAATAATGAGAGGTATAAATCGAGTTAATGGTAGTTCTCTATACCCTTGGGATGGGGTATCAAGACTAGGGACACATTTTTAAGGTGAGAAGAGACGGATTTGAAAAAGACATGAGGTAATTTTTTTTTTACACAAAGGGTTGTTCAAGTGTGGAATGAACCTCCTGAGGAAGTGTTGGATGTGGGTGCAATTACAATGCTTAAAAGACATTTGCATAAGTACATGAATAGGAAAGATTTTGAGGGATATGGGCCAGGAGCAGGCAGGTGGAAATAGTTTAGTTTGGGATTATGTTTGGCATGGCCTGGTTGGACTGAAAGGTTTGTTTTCATGCTGTATGACTCTGACTTCTGGTGTTATGGGGAGATAGATAAAAATAAACTACTTTCACTGGTTGAGGATTCTAGAACTGGGGGGCACAATCTGAAAATTAGGGCTAGATGGTTCAGAAGAGCTGTTAGGAAGCACTTCTGTACGCAAGTTGGTAGATGTTTGGATCTCTCTTCCATAAATGGCAGTAGTTGCTAGATCAGTTGTTTTTTATTTGAATCTGAGAAAGATGAACTTTCTGTTAAGCAAAGATATTAAGGGATATGGCCAAAGGCAGGTATATGACGTTAGGCCACAGATCAACCGTGATCTTACTGAATGGTGGAACAGACTTGAGGGGCTGAATGGCCTACTCCTGTACTTGTGTTCCTTTGTAGGATACTATAGGCAAATGCATCTGGGATTCCAGTGGAATGCCATGCAACCTTCACTTAACCCCTGACCCACACTAAATTGCAGGTGGACTTGAGAACAAAGGGTGTCAGTTGGCTCATGAATGAACCTAATTGACATTCTGGGGATAGCAGCTGAAATCTCCAATGAGCTCCTTACTTCCTCTGATTTAACTGATGTGGGGTCTTTCCATCAATTAAGTAGGCCCAGCCACCATGGTTCTGACCACATGAAACTACATTAGATCCAGCCCTGTGTGTCAGCCAGCAAGCTGGAAGTAGGGCTGGACCGAACAACAGAGTTTCTACACATCAAACAGAGCTCCTAACCTAAAATACAGCAGAGGCATCTGATAAAAGTTTGAATCTGAGGTTGCAAACTTACTTGCCAAGCCGGTGTGTTTGATTGCAGACATTTCGTCACCTTCCTGGGTAACATCATCAGTGTACCTCCGGTGAAGCCTTGGTGTTCTGTTCCGCTGGTCATTGATATGCCTCAGTTTGCTGGGGTGGTTGGCATTACTTCTGGTTCTGTTTTTCAGTGGTTTGTGTATCGGGTCCAGTTCAATGTGTTTGTTGATGGAGTTCTGGTTGGAATGCAAGTACACCAACTACCCATCAAGAGACACGACCAATTCTCACTGGTCTCAATACATACAGACAAAGAAGGACACAAATTTGACAAGGACAACACATCCATAATAGCACAAGACGAACAGAGACACGCCAGGGAATTCCTGGAGGCTTGGTGTTCCAACTGGTGTTCCACACAGTCAACAAACACATTGACTGGACCCAATAAACAAACCACTGAAAAACAGAACTAGAAGTGATGCCAACCACCCCAGCAAACAGAGACATATAAATAACAGAGATAGTAGGAACTGCAGATGCTGGAGAATCCGAGACAACAAGGTGCAGGCCTGCTGTGTTCATCCAGCCCTGCACCTTGTTGTCTCATATAAATAACAAGCAGGACAGAACACCAAAGCCTCACTGAAGGCACACTGATGGTATTACCTAGCAGGGTGATGAAACGTCTGCAGTCAAACACACAGGCTCGGCAAGCAAGTCTACAACCTTATCCACAACCTGAGCTACAAATCTTCTCAAAAACGTTAAAGTTTGAATGTTGCGAATATCTCTTCCACAAAGTGTCGTGAGTGGAGAAGATAGTAACAAAACATAAATTAATCCTTTCAATTACAGAAATGTGGTCTTCAGCCTTAGTTCATGGGCAATATTACCCTATTTTTCTTTCTGTGTCAACACTGAATAGAATCTCATACATTATTTCAGATAACTGAAGCTTTTTATTGAGAATTCACTCAGTTCAGAGTCAGGTAAAGAAAGTAAAGCTCTGAATGTTTACACGTGAGGCAAATTTCATGCTGGGAAGTTCTGCAAACAGCACACTGTTGGAATGCACAGATGCAATTGAAAATTCTCTCTAACTATTGAATAAAAACACCAAGTTGACACCTGTTCTTTTTAGATGAGCTGAGGCTTTGAAGTGAAGGGAATACAAACCATGGAATGCATTTCGGTAGGCAAATTCAATCATATTTTAAAAGTTTAATTTTTGAAATTTATTTGAAACCTGTCTTGGAATTGCTAATTGCAATTACGTGGATAAACAGACCTTATTTTCCAAAATTCTTTTGAATTCTTGTAGGGGAATGACAGCAGTGCTTCCTGGTGTGACAGTTTGTACAATTAAGAAAGATATAGGACTTAATTTATTTTTGCAAATTTTGGTTGCATCAAAAAGAATGTAACCGTTCATTTTTGTACATTGCTGCTAATGGAAATATTTACATCACAGGAAAAAAAACCCTCCATTTAATCCATCCACAGAAAATCATCAGTGCTACACCCACCATGGGGGTTTTGCATTCTCTATATGTTTGCATTTCTATTTCTTGTTAAAGTTCTCCAATGAAATGCATGACGTATGATGCACCATTCAGATGTTGTTCTATAAACTACATTATTGTCATTTGCAGAAGACAAAATATCCAAGCCGTTCCGATCAATGCTGTAGCCAGTGTCAATGGATTCAAAGCCCACACTGTGTTTAGAGAAATTGAGAAAAAACTTCAGGAGGTGAGGCCAATTCTTGACTCCTAATATCTGTAGAAATTTTAAAAAGGTAAATGATCATGAACGTAGTGAATAAGGTGCTGTGCTTTCATCTTACGTTCCTTCTGTTCACCTTTATCTGTTGTATTGAAATGCTTTTGTTGAGCACTTTGACCTTTACTCACTACTGCTATGAAACAACACCGTAAAACTGACTGACATGAAAGAAGAAATATTGTGCACTTGTACAGTGTAGAGTTCTTCTATGTGACCATGGCTGAGACCTTCTTTTAGGGCTAATGAGACAATTGCCTGCTATTTGGTTTCTTCTTTCTCGCAAAAGCACATTGAAAGTAGGAACTTAGGCAGAATATTGAGGGCACTTTGGTTAACTTCTTTAACTTACAGGTGAGCTACTAGATTTTAAAGCCATCAGGAGACCATTCAGTCCTTTGTGCCCATGCCAACAATTTAAACAAACTCTCCACTTGCACAATTCCCTGCACTTCCCCATTGCATAGCAATTTATTTTTCTTTTTTTTAAATCATATTTCCACTTCATTTTGAATCAGTCTGCTTACGATATCTATTCAATTAGTGCCTTATCAGTGTTTTTTTTAATTTTCTCATGTTTGCCTAGTTCTTTTGCCAATTATTTTAAATATGTTTCAACCCTCCTTTTCAGTTGAAATAATTTCTCACTCCCTACCATACCAGTTAGAGTATTACAGCATCAAAACAGACCATTGGCCTTGTTCGTCTATGCCGACCAGGTATCCTAAACTGAACTAGTCCCACTTGCCTGCACTTGGCCCATATACCTCTCAATTTTTCCTATTCGTGTACCTGTCTGAATGTCTTTTAAATGTTGTAATTGTGCCTGTCTCTACCACTTCCTCTGGCAGCTCATTCTATACCATCCTCCGTGTGAGAGAGTTGCTTCTCAGGTCCCTTCTTTAAATCTTTCAGCTTAACTTTAAACCTATGCCCTCTAGTTTTGGACTCCCCTACCCTGGGAAAAAGACCTTGGCTATTCACCTTACATCAGCCTCTTGTCAGTTCACTTCACCACTCGGGAAGTTTGCTATCCTGAAAGCAGCAGTGATTTATTTTCTAAATTCTGAGTTAAGACACAGTGGAATGCAGTATTAGTGATTGAAACAGTCTGTATTAGATAGTTAAATATGTGGTTGAAGGAATAGGGAATAATGGGATATGAAAATAAGACAATGGGCATGTAGGTTGGAATTCCTGCTCATCGGCAAGGTAAGCACCAACATGATAAAACAAAAAACATTGTAATGTTGTCACTTCCATGTATTTTGACACAATGCAGTTCAGTGAAACCAGCATGATTTAAGACATTAGAACTTAAATCATTTTAGTCATAATGTTTTTGTCATATGAGTCTATCCCTTTTACCTGGAAATAAGATATGTACTTATAATGCAAATTACAAATGCTATCTTGACTTAGTTGATGGCACATTTTTGTCTGGGATGGGAAACTGGGGACTGAACTCTTCATTAGGGCTGAAGCGCATAAAGCAGTCAGACAACCAGTGCAGAACTAAGAATTGGCTGTGTTGATGGCACTGCTGTCTTAGTGAAATGTCAAATTAAAAATGTTGTCTGCCTGCTTAATATTAAAATTCCATGGAATGATTCAAAAGATGATCAATGACTTATCTCAGTGCCCAGGCCAATTCAATCAATACAGTCTGAACCAATTAACTTCACATTTTCCCAGTAATCATTATGGGGCATTACAAGTGTGGAATTTTCCATCCTTGATTCAACAGTCAGTGCTTTCTATTCCCTTCAATATTCCATCCTGTTTTGTCATGCGTGAGCCTAAACAGTGACCATCAACAGTACACCCATGAAGGCTTCATGGCCAAATTCAATTTGGTCCTAATCAAACAAAGTCATGGTTCAACACATAGTTACAAAAAGCACAAAATCTGGTCACAGCTCATCTTTCTTTTAATCGTTTGCAAAGCGCCTCATTGTCTTGCTTCCAACATGGCACTAGTTCAAATCATATCAGTCAGCCCACATTATGGATTGAATCTGAAGCCATTTCAGTCTAGCCTCAGCTAGATATCACAACTGGCCAAGCATTTAGTCACTGAGCTACAAAGGACCGTATCCTAGATGCTTCTTCCATAATTTTGAACAATTCTGTCTTAACTTTATGAAGTCTCCCTGCCCTTCCATTGCATCTGTGTATTCCAATATCGTGCTGTTTGCAGAATCTTCCAGCATGAAACTTGCTTCTCATGTAATCATTGAGGGTTTTATTTTATTCTGCTGAGTTTTTCTAGCAATTTCTGTTTTTGCTTCTGTCTTAAAACTCCCTTGAGTTATCCTTTTGACCAGAAATAGTGTCCACACTTCTTTAGTCCTTCCACAGACAGTTTTAGTGTCATACAGGATGGAAACAACCCTTTGGTCCAACTAGTCCAACCATCTTCCCAAACTAGTTGAGTTCTGAGGAAGGGTCACTGGACCCAAAACAGTAACTTTGATTTCTCTCCATAGATGCTGCCAGACCTGCTCAGTTTTTCCAGCAATTTCTGTTTTTGTTTCTGATTTCTGAAATAACTGCAGATATTGTTTTTTATGTTCTTAAACTAAACTAGTCCGACTTGCCTGGCTTTGGCCCATATCATTCCAAACCTTTCCTATTCATGAAACCGTCCAAATATCTTTTAAATGTTGTAATTGTACCTGCATCTGCCACTTCTTTTGGCAGTTCATCCCACACACAAAACATTCTCTGTGTAAGAAAAAAGTTGTCCCTCGTGTCTTTTTTAAAACTTTTTCCTCTCACCTTAAAATGTGCCCCTAGTTTTGAAATCCCTCACCCTAAGGAAAGGACCTTTTGCTACTCACTTTATCTATGCCCTTCATGATTTTATAAACCTCTATAAGGTCACCCCTCAACCTCCTACGCTCCTGTGAATAAAATCTCAGCCTATCCAGCCTATTGTTATAATTCAAATCCTCCATTCCCAGTAACATCCAGGTAAATCTTTCCTAAACTCTCTCCAGTTTAATAATATCCTTCCTATTGCAGACTGCCAGAACTGCACACAATACTGCAGAAGAGGCCTCACCAGCGTCCTGTAACAACCTCAACATGACATCCCAACTCCTATACTCAAAGGTCTGAGCAAGGAAGGCAAACGTGCTAAAAGCCTTCTTAACCACCCTGTCTACCATGATGCAAATTTCAATGAATAATGTACCTGAATCCCTAGGTCTCTCTGTTCTAAAACACCACCCAGGGCCCTACTATTAATTGTATAAGCCCTGTCTTTGTTTGTTTTACCAAAATGCAATACCTCTCATTTATCCAAATTAAACTTCAGCTGCCACTCCTCATCCCATTGACACAAATGATCAAGATCTCTTTGTAATCTTAGAAAGCCTTCTTCACTGTCCATTTTACCACCAATTTTGATGTCATCTGCTTCCAATATTCTCATCCAAATCGTTTATATAAATGACAAACAGAAGTGAACCCACTACCGATCTGTGTGGAATACCACTGGACACAGGCCGCCAGTCCAAAAAACAACTACCCCCCCACCACCACCACCCTCCGTCTCCTACTGTCAAGCCAATTTTGTATCCAATTGGCAAGCTTGCCCTGAATCCCATGTGATCTAACTTTACTAATTAGCCTGCTACGCGGAACTTTGTCAAAGGCTTTACTAAAGTGCATATAAACAAAGTTTACCGCTCTGCCCTCATCAATCTTTTTGGTTACTTCCTGAAAAAAACATGATCAAGTTTGTGAGACATGATTTCCCTGGCACAAAGCCATGCTGACTATTCGTAGTCAGACCTTGCCCTTCCAATTGCATGTAAATCCTGTCTTTCAGAATCACCTCCAGCAACTTCTCTACCACCAATGTCAGTCTCACAAGTATATAGTTGCATGCTTCTCCATACAGGCTTTCCTAAACAAAGGCACAACATTAACCACTCTCCAGTTCTCCAGCACCACATCCGTGGTTATAGATGATACAAAAATTTTTGTTGGGCCCCCGCAATTTCTCCCCTAACTTCTCACCGCGTCCTGGAGTATACTTGATCAGTTCCCACAGATTTATCCAATTTTGTTTTCTAACACATCCAGCACTTCCTCTTCTGCAATGTTAACTGTTTTCAAAACATCAGTGTTTATTTTCCCGAGTTCTCTAGCCTCTATTTCTTTCTCCACATGAAAATATTCATTTAGTATCTTTCCCATCTCCTGAGGTTCAACACATAGATGACCTCCTTGATCTTTAATGATGCTAACCCCTGGGGCACACTACTGTGTATACTTCTGTGCAGTCTGATAAACAGCTTTTCATCTGCACTTACCTTGACTCTGTCTTTTCCCCCCCCCACCGATCCAGGAACTCCCCATCTATGTCCGGGACACCACCCGTGACCTCCACCTCCTCCAAGACTTCCAATTCCCTGCCCCCAACACCTCATCTTCACTATGGACATCCAGTCCCTGTACACTTGTATTCCCTACGGAGATGGCCTAAAAGCCCTCTGCTTCTTCCTCTCCCGCAGGCCCCAACCAGTCCCCCTCCACCAAAACCCTCATCTGCTTAATAGAACTTGTCCTTACCCTGAACAACTTCTCCTTTAACTCCTCCCACTTCCTACAGACTAAAGGGGTGGCCATTGGCACCCGCATGGGGCCAAGCTATGCCTGCCTCTTCATAGGATATGTGGAACAGTCCCTCTTCTGCTGCTACACTGGCACTATTCCCCACCTCTTCCTCCGCTACGTGATGACTGTATCGGCACTGCCTCGTGCTTGCATGTGGGATTTGAACAGTTCATCAACTTTACTAACACCTTTCACCCCAACCTCAAATTCACCTGGACCATCTCCGATACCTCCCTCTCCTTTTTGGACCTCTCCATCTCCATCTCTGGTAACCGCCTCGAAACTGAAATCTGTTTTAAGTCCACCAATTCCCACAGCTACTTGAACCACACCTCCTCTCA